ATGGCTAATATGTATCTTTAAGTAGCCAACCTCCATAGTAATTAAATAAATATAAATTAAAACAACAATGACCTGTTTTATACTTTTTTGCTTTGCTTATTAGTGAAGATTAAAAAGAACAATGTTACCCAGTATTTTAAGGGTATAAGCAATTTTACACTTTGTTTATAAACCTCTTTGGAGGTTAATTTGACCATATTTATCAAAAAGCCTTAAAATTTTATATACCCTTTCACCCAGTGATTCCACTTTTGGAGGTTTATCCTTGGGTTTATCCTAAAAAAATAGTCATATGTGTGTATAAGGATGTTCAGTGCAGCATTTTATAAGAGCCATAATATTGAAACTATCTACAATATCTGACAAGTGGGGTTAGAGTAAACAAATTATGGTACATCCATAGCGTGGAATAATACACTTGCATTATAAATAATGAGGTAGATATATTTGTACAGAAAGGTGCTTATAATTTTAAATGAAGATAAACAAGTTAAAAACAGCAGGTCAAGTATGTTTCTATTTTTGTATAAATATATTTACATATGCATAAAAAAGAAGTCTAGAGGAACATTCTCCAAAAATTGTCTAAGTGGTTTTATGGAAAAAGGTGAGTTATGAATTATTTTTTCCTTCTTTTGATTTCTGCATTTTCTAAAGTATTTACAATACAAGTGATTACTATCATAAATACAATTTTCTTTAAAAATACAGTTTTTTAAAAGATCACAGACTAATATTCCCTAACTATATCCCCTATCCTGGGACAATCGGTGACATGTGATAGGTCCATAAAAAACATTCATTGGGTGAATGAATAAAGGAATCTGGCTGAACTCATGGATATGGGTGAAATTTATGTTGTCTGGTAAAATAAACCATGGACTTACAGTGACAAGACCTGGGTTCAAGTCCTGACTCCTGCCTTAGCTGTGTGGACATGATCACAATCCCTGAATATCTCAGTACCAGCTTCCTTATCTAGGAAATAGGAACATTATTCCAGACTACCCTTTCCAGACTGCTCAGGAATGGGTAGAAAGGGCTTCAGTAGGCAGAAAACTAAGAAGTAGACAGACAGGGCATCAAGAGAGTGCTGGAAGGAGGGTGGGCTCAGAGAGTTGATAGGGAGGTAAGTGAGCAGCCTGGAAGCTAGGCTAGAGACCCTGGCAAGGGACGGAGGCCCACAGCAGGATGAGCTCCACTCTGCATGACCTGGACCATGCCCAAATCAAAGACTCTCAGAAGTTTGGTTAACTTTGGTTAACTTAGCAAGGATTTGGCTAAAGTCAAAGGAAGGGCAGGCGATGCTAGGGAGATGTGTCCACAATCCAGAGGAAAAAGGAACAGGAGCGCTCGAGGCCTAGAGGGCCCACTTCAGTTTTGGGAGAGGCTTAGAATGGAAGAATGAAACTGCATCCCATCCCATTTTTATAAAAGTCCAAACGTAAAATTGAAACATATAATCAAGGCATAAAGCAATCCATGATTCTAGTTAACACTTTCTACACACAGATGCACAAAGCTGCTTTCAACAGAAACTAGCCCTGGCCGGCTTGGCTCGGAGCATCGTCCTGTACCCCAAAAGGCCACGGGTTCGATTTCTGGTCAGGCCACATACCTAGGTTGTGGGTTCAGTTCCCGGTTGGGGCGAGTAAGAGAGGCAACCCATCGATGTTTCTCTCTCTTTCTCTCCCCCCCTTCCTCTCTCTAAAATCAATAAACATATCCTCAGGTGAGGATTAAAAAATAAAAAACAAAAACTAGAAACTACCCTAGATCATGTAGGTGTTTTATAATTACTGATTCAAGAGAACTGTCTTAAATGGGTGGAAATAACACATTTTAAGATGAAAAAGCAAATGAGAAACTAGGATTTGATCTACAACATTTCAGTTGACACACAACGGCAGGAATTTAGACAAGATGTAACAGAACCTAAAATCAGAAGCCCCCACTGTGTTCCCCTTTCCTGAGTGCCCTGCGCCTCCAAATCACCTCCCTCTTATTCTCTCTCTAAATGGACACTTTGAGCTCAGAGAAGGAAGCACTATATATTAAACCAATAGTGCTTGGGGTGGTTCTGTGGATGAGCTGCCTTGGGAGTGTTAAAAAAAATAGGAAAGTAGATTCTAGCCCTGTGAGTGGGAGCCCTGATGTAGGTTGAGGTAAGGCCCTGAAATATCTATTTTTTGAAAGCATCCCTTGGAGATTCTGATGTACAGCCAGGCTTAGGAAACAGCTAAATAAACCATTGGAGTGAGCCACTTGATAAAGCTGAGGGCTTCCTATCGCTGGAGGCTTTCCAGAGAAGGCTTGTCGATCACTCAAGAGCAGCTTTGTGAATTCAGTGGTGGTCTTGGGGACAGGGATGAGCTGGGTTCCTTCTGAGGTACTTTTTTCAATTCCCAGATTCCAAGCCTGTAGTGCAATTCATACAAAAGTATAAATGAGTCTGAGGTACTCTTAATCCTGATCCTTTTAATGGAGGCCTCTCCACCAAAAATATATCTGCTGCAGTGGATGCTAATTTCAGGCACCGTGACTAAGTGAAATGAAGGATTCCAGACAATATAGGCATGGAGATCTTCCAGCTGTTCCTTAAATCGGTGGCTTCCAGACTTGGCTGATCTTCAGAGTAGTCTGGGAAGCACTATAGAAAGATTTTTGAACACTACTACAGAACTACCAAAGCTGACTCTTGGGTGAGCATGGTACCCAGAAATGGGTAGTTTTTAAAAAACTGTGTATATTTGGGCAAACTACTGAGGAGGGGAAGAGCAGAAACCCAAGGTGGAAAGAAGTCCTGATGAGAAATGATTCTAGGAATCAGTGCAAAAAGCCAACATGAAGAAGGGTCTCGCCTCCCATTTGCCAGGTTCTGGGACCTCAATCACAAGTTGAAACGGTTTTGTGACTGGCGTGGTCCCACACTGCAGACACACTGTCCTGCCTGCCTCTGCAGCCACACAAACCTGTCACACTGCCTCTGCTTCCAGCTGTCAGGGCCTTCCTGAGCCACAGTGATGATAAACCCAAGTACCCTGGCCCCTTTGAGCACCACCCCCTCTGAGCCCTTTCCTGTACCCTTTCCTGGTCTCCAGGCCATCTGATAACCCTGGGGGAGCTTATGGAGTGCCTTTTTATGTGCACCTAGACTTCCCAGCCCCTGCTTTGCCCCTGAAGAGGAAGACCCAACGTTCATTACTCTTGCCCTTAGGTACAATGACCTCATTCTGGATGGCCTAGAGCCTGGAAGTGCAGAACTATACCCAGGCCCAGGCCCAGGGCATCGAGAATCCCTAGGCAAGAGTACTCTGGGACCAGGAATGTATCAGGAAGCCAAAGATCAGGGTCCTCAGGGTCAGCACAGCTCAGAGGGCTGGGGCCATGGCTTGATCACATGCTCAACACACACAGTCATCCAGTCATCTGTGCCCCACTTGCCTTATTTCACTCTCTCAGAAGACAAGAGAAGCTTCAGAGCCCCAGGGGTGTGCACGCTGAACTGGATATTACAGGGGAAAGCGCACAGAAATAGAAATGCTGCAATAAGAATTAGAAACCAAAGTACCTGCCCTCAATACGTTAGCCAACATGTATTTACACTGAACAATGCACTTTTCCCATACAGTATCTTGTTTGCTAAGAGGACACTACTAATACCCTCCTATTTCAGATGATGAAATTGAAGCTCAGAAGTTGTCAGTTGCTGAAGATCACACATATCCAGGTTCTGACTCCAGATCTCATGCTCAGCCAAAGCATGAAAAAAAGTGAGGATTTTATTAGATGTTCAAACTGAATGAAGCAACTAATAAACTGGTGCAAATTAATAACCTTTCATTCACACAGTGTTGTAAGATTTGTAAAGATCGTCCCCCAGCATTGCCTCATTTGAGCCTCACTACAGCCCTGTGACGTTCTGGACTCTGATTTACAGGTGAGAAACCTGAGACTTAGATTAATCAGTTTCCCCAAGACCACATGAATTGAAAAGGTAAGTTGAAAAGGTACAAGACACATACATCGTTGCTCTTTAAATTTCCCCCTAAACACCCAGTGCTCTTAATATCTATCGCAGGCTCTTAACATCCCGTGCACATAGGAGACCCTCCATAAATATTTGCTGAATAAATGAATGAATAAGAGGCTGAAAGGAGTAAATGTCACATGATGAACGGAGAAAGGACTTAAAAGCTGACGCAATCTACAAGTAGGAGACTGTTGAAAGACTTATCTCGGCCACGCAGGCCCCTCCCGCGCTGCTGGCTAATCCCACCCGGGGAGGGAGGGGACCCCCGCGCCCAGGACCCTGCACGGGCGCCGCTTCCCCTGTCGCCCCAGCCGGCGGGCTCCCGGGACCGCGCGGAGGGATCTGAAGGATTGGGACCCGG